GGGGGGGGGTGGTGAGGGATAGAAGGTAAGATTAGCGACACCCACCCAATCCTCCCTCGTTTTTATACTCCTCTGCTACTGTCGCACAGTTTAATAACACGTTTTCCTTTACTAATTGAACACCTTAAACCGGCCATCTTTTTTATATGATGCTTTCTAACATAAATGAACACAGTACGCATCTTCTGATTGGTCAGTTCAGTTTCCAAGCGGATGCTTTATTATAGGGCCCGCATTTGATCGGCGACAACTAGTTATGTCATAACAGCAATGAAAAGCGTTTTTCCTGGCTCCAAAACACAATAAAATAACTGGAGACGATGAGAAGAGAGGAAGGCGAGTGATTTTAATAATAATAATAATAATAATAATAATAATAATAATAATAATAATAATTTAATATTTATATTGCGCAAATTAACATGTGGATATGATCAAATGCGCATCACAACACTTTTCGGGGGACTTTGGCCGGACTGCATCAGCAGTTTACAAACAATCGAAGGAAACTTATTTGAAGATGCCCCCTCCCCCCAATTCCCAGTAAACAGGCCAGACCACATCACAGTAATCTCGTGAGTGGGTTCTTTAACGTCCCCTGCCTAACCAAATTAACTAATTAATAGATGCAGGAGACGGGACTTACGGTTTATTCGTCCATATCCGACAAGACTAGAATGTCTATCCATTTTCTTATCAATGAAAGGTCTCAGTTATTTTAAGACCTTGAGTGTTGGTCCGGCCGGGGCTCGAACCATCGACCTCAACCTGCCGCACAGCTGTCCAGCGCTCTAACCAATTGAGCTAATGGGAAGGTGATTTTGAATTCAGACTTTCTTCTTCCATTTTAGCAACACTGTACTCGTAGTAGCCCATCTGGTCGAAGTTTATCCTGGTTTGTCTTGTAGAAGGCTAAGAAGATTCTTAGTACTCCCCTGAGTACGACGTCAGTCCATCCTAGGGAACCCCTTACCCCCCTCCCCACAGTATTTCATCAGGTTTACCGGCCAGTTTGCTGGTAGTCTCTTGTGCTTCTGGTTGCAGAGAGGCGTATTCGTAATTTTTTTTTATCTAAATTGCTTGATAAAACTTGCTGGTATGAATACGATCTCACACTTATGTGATCTTTGTTTTGCTTCTTTTTCATGTCAGGTTTGTGGCCGGCTGAAGGTTGAGGTGTCTAGGATTTCAGGTACATTTTCTGCGAAAGCGTTTAAATGAGCGTGAATTTTTGTGAGGAGTGAATGAACGCGTACAAGCGTGTTGTTGGCTGGCGTGCTTGGTCGTGTGAAGGTTCTGGAAACACAAAGCGACATATCGCCGCGAAACGACCCGAGAACAGTTGCTGTGCTAAGTTGCAATTGCTTTGTTTGAGATGAATCTTTATTTTCCGAAAAGATTTGTCCTTGTGACAGACTTAGTCTTCGAATTACGTCGTTCAATTGAAACTGGTCAATTTCATGGGTGCGATTGCATTGTGTTAATGTAGGCAAAAACGTCCCTGAAAGATATGTTCTCCTATGTGTCGTAGAAAACTGTCTCCTTGTGTGTCAGACTATAACGGTTTGCGATCCAAATATATTCTAGGCGAAATGTCTTTTTATTATTACAGAGTTCCATACTTTGTCTAACAACTGTACCGAACGCGTTTGTAGAGTGTATTTAAAACGGTGAGGGCTCTGTTCAACTGTCTTTACTCTTCTTATACGTTGTCAACAACAGAAAAAGCTCAGAAGAAGAAATCTAGAGAAGAGCGAGGTGACACTGAAGAAACCTCGAGCGACGAAGAAGATGGTTCGTTAGTCATACATGACGATAATGGTGACGATGACGATGATGAGCTGGTCAAAGGCTCGCAGATGCATGTAGAGGTCAAGGTTGTCGAGGCGTATGACCTCCCCCCAGCTCTGTGTAATTACGTGTTCTGTCAGTACAAGTTTTGGAATGACGATAATACCATTGTGGTGCCACCCATTAATGCCAGTATTTCTCAGCCTGGGCCAAAGACCAACACGATGATTTTCGAGCACAAGCAGGTAGGCCCATGTGCGTGAAGCGTACTTTTCATTTAAATAAAAGGGGTAAGTTTCTAAAGAAACTGTGGTGCTGCGTCGGTGGGAGTAACAATGTAATTTTGGTTTTATCAAATGAGATGATAAGGTAAATTGGCCACCGTAAAGAATTCAAAGCTAACGTTATGAGGGTTAGCCCTTCGTCAGAGCGAAACTTTCCATTTGCCTGGAGCGGAGTGCGGTAGATCAGTTTATAAGGCGAACTTCTGTAGTCTAACATGTACTTCAGGGAAAGGAGGGACTCCTAGGATGTAAAAATGAATTATAATTCCTGCTTTATGTTTAGCACAAGAAGAAGTTGACGTTTGGGGCAGTTACATTCAAATAGGCATATTCTTCATTTTACAGGCTAATAAAGGCCTTGCGTATTTCTTTAAGCTGTACGAACCTAGAGTTGGTCCCAGTTTCCATGAATCAACGTCACGTCCTTATTTTTATCCGTAGAGAAAAATTAGTATTAAGTTATTTTTAAATGTCTTTTCAGGTATTTGATATGGAAGTTACGGACGAATTCGTTGAGTATGCATCCGAGGGCTCCCTCGCCATTGAAGTCTGGGGAAACCGAATGAAAGGATTTGATTCACAAAGCAAAGTAATGTTAAACTGGAACGTGGAACCTCAGCAAAAAGGACTCCACGACAGGTATGGTCAACGATCCTTTTCTTTCTTTCTTGTTGTCCTGCTCTTGAAATTTTTGTTTTCATTAGTTAATTGTTTTAAAGAAAAAAGTCTGCATACAACACTTACTTATTTAGAAGCCAGAGTGTATCTAAATTTTGGTAGCATCAAGCGAGAAGGTATTTGGTTCCCTCCCTTGGTTGGGATGCTAGTCTATAGGTTCACACCGTCTGCCTCCCCTCCCTCTTAGTATTTCTTAATAATTGTGTCTTGCTCACGAACATAGCACAATGTCCCAGCCGGGGCTCGCACTCGCACTCGCACCCAGGCCTCGACTCGGATTCCAGCGGCCTGACCATAGGCTGGTGCGTCTCCAACTTTTTGACCGTGGAATTAACAGCCAAAAGTTCTTGGTCTTATTCGTGACGTAAAATCTTTCCCTTTCAGATGGGGAGAACTCTTACGAAAGATGCGGCTCTGGGTGGAAATATTAGAAATCAATGATCAAGGGGTCTATGCACCTGTAGAGCTTCACATTCAAAAAGACAATCTAACTGGTGGAGTATTTCAGCTGCGTCAAGGTCACTCGCGGCGAATCGCTGTGCGCGTCCAGCCTGTACCAAGGGCCGGTTCACTTCCGGTTGTGTGTGACATTATTTCCGCTGTGTATATTGGGAGTGTTTCGATGAGAACTAAGAATCAACAACCGCTGGACAGCTATCAAGAGAAAGATCTTGCCATGTAAGTGTTGTTCATTGAATACAGATGAATTATGTTTTACCAGAACTAATCCTGTAGGTAAAGATTCCTGCTGTCAGTTTTCGATACGTGGAACAGTCCATCGAATGCCCTCAGTAGGGAAAATACTGTTTTTATTTTTGAGAAATCTTTCTTTTTCTTCATAGTCTGCGTGAAAAGTGGTCCACTTCTTTGATGAAAAGGCGGGAGTACTTGGATGAGCAAATTCACTCTTTAATCGACAAACAAGGTAACGCAAATTTGGGAGAAATTAGGTATAAAATTGGCCTGCTTATCGGTTGTCGGCAATTGGGAAATAGGCGCGGAGGGGTAAAGGGAAAACAGAAAAGGGCGATGTGGAATGCGGTGTGTTCTTTCCTGTCGTGTGTCCCTCATGTGCTAGACGGCGCCTACCACGCCCTCTAAGCCTGCGGCGTGGTGTAGAAAAAGTTAAGTCTTTCTTTCAAACCAAACGAGGCTCGCAGTCAGAATTTATCCCTGTCTCTGTAGCATGAAGCGACATGGAGTATTGGTATTGCCACTCCCTGTGGGAGAGATGGTAGTCTTTCGTCGGTTGCCTAATTAAGAGCGGCCTCATACGATTCAGGATTGACAACTTTAAAGCGATTAATAACTAAACGAACATGAAATATTGAGAGTTAGTTTGACTCTCTAATCGGGACGCGCCCTAATCTCAAGCATAACTTTGAAATATCTTTCGTTTGCAGATAAATCAGCCAGCGATAAAGAGCGAGAGAGCTGGATGATCGACCAATGGGTGTGTCTCACAGAGGAGAGGAACGCTGTCCTTGTTCCAATACGAGGAAGTGGAATCCCCGGTGCTCCGCCTCTTGAAGGGTAAGGATCTTTCTAAACGACCCCAGGCGTCTTCCCGCCCCCAGTAGGGCGACTACGAGATGCTTGTCTAATATTCGCCTGTTACCCCAGGAGTTAAGTTCATCCGGGTTTTCTTTAACAGGACCGTGCCTCTGGGAATGGAGAAGTACAATCCTGTTATATTTCTGGATCTTCAGAATGGTAAGGCAATCGATTTAACTTGATTTGTATGGTTTAAAATGTATATTGCTTCACGTTTGTTGTAGGGAAGTGAAGGAGTTCGCAGAGTGTGATAAAACTTGTGCTCGTCATGGAGTTATACAAAGCCCTGCAGAGAGGTTATCACACGTACTCCCTTTGGAATTTCTACTCAAGAAAAGCGTTGTGGGTTGGACTTAGGTTTCCCGGTGTGAGGGCGCGACATTAGAAATTTGCCACGCAGTATGTGGTCACTTATTTCTGTGATTTCACCCGGTCTTTGTATTTTTATTGATTTCTTTCAAATCAAACCGATTCTGGCTGAAATTTTGCAGAGAGAAGAATAGAGGATTATAGAGAAAAAGGTGTTCTTTTCTTTTTTTTTTTTTCATTCTTCGCAGACGACGTGAGAAGCGGCTGTATGGAAGAAGGAGGCCCTGCAGGAGTGGATTCTACTCTTGTATTCGAAAATTCCGACAACATGATGGAACTACCGATCATAAACTACGATCAGAAGCAGGTTTGTTAGCAATACACCTCGCGCGTGCATATACGAAGGTTAATCCTTTTCAGGCACTTTCAGTGCGCTTAGTCACGTGATATTTCACCTCAGTGACGAAGGTCACGGCAATGTCACGCCATCGTTACAACGATCAGGTTATTGACTATCCTTGTGCCTACTGCCTATTATGACTTCAGAGGTAACTGTGTTGGCGCCATATTAAATACGATTCCTTGACTCTGCGCTCGATACCTGTTTTATTGACTTTCAGGTTTCTGCCACTGTGTTATGGGACTCGTCAATTCACGATTCCGTGTTTCTTAACCGTGTCACACAGTCACACGAGAGAGTTTATCTGATTTTAAAAGTAAGTAAGCAACCAACTGAGAAATCACTCGGTTAATTCAGTTAGAGAAAGTGAGACAAAGTTTTCGCGATGGACATAACCGTGAGGTTGCCCCTGAAACTCTGTTACTTTGTGGGGTTGTTATCTTAGTAGAAAAACAAATTATCCAAAGCATTTTAATACTAAATGTGTGGAACTTAAAGGGAGAATTCCACAGTAGATCGTAGGAGGTAACGGCTTAAATTGATTTTATTCCAATTACCTCTTCTTATTGCAGGTTATCGTTCGCCTCGCGAGTCCAATCGCGATGGATCTGGTCCTACGGAAAAGAATTTCAGTCAAAATATACAAGAAACAAAGCTGGAAAGACAGTTTACTTAGAAAAATCACAAAGGTTTGTGAAACCTCTGGTGATTTTCCCTTTCTAACTAATATGGTTAAGTTCAAACTTCATTTGAAATCCCTCTTTCTGCTCAGTTTGGTCATAACTCTTGATTGACCCGTCATACTGTGATGTAATTGATTGAAAGATAAAAATTTCACTTCGACAATTTTTCTTTTTGTGCTTTCTTCTCGTAGGATATCATAACACGGTCTGGCGTGACCTACGAACTTGTGTCACACATTCCACGGGTAAGCTTTATTGACTACGCTTACCAAATTAACGATTTTCTTATAAAGATAATTTGCCAATGGGGTAAGACTAGAGTGAGTTTAAACTGAGCTAGGAGTAGGTAGAATTAGAAGTAATTAATTTTAACAATGATATTCAACCATGTCACTGGCAAACAGCTATTTTCTGTTTGCCTCACAGTCGTCATGTGACCCTCTAAGACTTTGCTATCGTCTTTGATATTCTCCGCTCGACCCTTGCTTGATGGAATACGAAAATTATGAGATGAACAAGGGTTCTGATCTGTTCTTTTTTTTAATCATCCAACAGCAACCAGGAGAGGAGACAGAAGAACGTGAGAGCCTGGCGCAAATGGCTGCATTGGCTGTGGGAGAAGGGGAGGAGGAGGATGAATCTGTGTTGAGAAAATACAGCAAAGGAATCTCACATGTGGAAAGTTTGTTGGCACTCGATCGACTTAGACAGGTACGACACTAAAGTACTCGGTGATTGTGTCGCAGTGCACTAATGGTTAGCGCGTTTGACTGTGTATTAAAAAGACTGGGTTCGAGACCCGGCCAGGGCATTGTGTTGTGTTCTCGAGAAAGATTCTCTACCCTCAAAGTTAACCTTTCAGCGAAACCTTACAAATACTGGGTTTTAACTGGCAATTAACCAGCGTAGCGTCGCATGGAGGGAGGGGGGAGRGGKRKARA